GGTGCTCTTTCACCCCATTTCCATGAGAATTTTGGTGTTTCTGTGATCTTCTCTTCCACCAGCCCCGCTCTGAACACATCCCCAACCACATCTGAGGGAAGTGTGGAGGGCTGGGAGACTCCAAGCTCCTCCAACAAGCCCAAGCAGCACCTGGGTGAGCTCCACGTGCATCTCCAGCAGGTCTTTGGTGCCCTGTGCAGCCTCAGACCAGTGGACCCCAAGGGACAGTGCCAGCATGGGGGTGGCACAGCTGGAGCTGGGCATTGCCTGCAGAGCTGTGCTGTGCCCAGGGCACTTGGCTTGGCAGACAACATCCAAATTCCCATCTCTAAAATCAGGCCAAGAGCCCAACCCTGCCCAGGTTGGAGGGTAAAGGCTCCAAAGGCTGGGAAGTGTTTTGGAGTCCCAAGCCTTGGGAACATGGTCAGGCAGGTTCTGATGGAGCCAGGGATGAAATCCAAGGGGAAAACTTGCAGCCAGCCTGGTGAGCAGTGGCAAAGCCACCTGAGCTGCCAGCTCGAGCATCTGCCACCCCTCATACCTGTGGCAGGAGGAGACAGAGTCAGGCAGGGGCTGGGAGCTCTAGGGAGAGAGGGAATTGTGCAGAGGGAAGGAATATTCATCCCCAGAACCAGCCTGTGCCAAAAATACCCAGTGACTAATTTTATGCCTTTCTGATTGCCTTTTAACTGCGAGTTATTAAAAACGGGGAGAAGGGAGATGATGTCCTGGTGGGAGGATAAGTGAGCGTTGCCATGGCAGTGAGGGGATGCTGCAGCACAGCCCGGACCACAATTGGTGAGGACAGAGGCTGGTGGACAGCCCGGGAAGCCAGAGAAGAGGGGCTGTGTCATCCAGCCGAATCCAAAGGCACTATTTGGCCTGGACGCTGCTCCACTGCCCTCCCCTGCTCTCCCACCTGGCTCTCTCCTCCTGCTCTCCCAGCCGGATCAGATTTCCCTGTCCCTGAGCTCACCCCTTCCCAGAGACACTTTTATCAGGCTCAGGGCAAGGAAGAAGCCGGGATTTGGGGGGGGTTCAAGAGATTAGGAAAGAATTTGCCTCCGGGAATCTCTTTCCTCCATCTGCCCGGGATAAATTGTGTGACGGTGGTGGAGGCTTTGCAGCTCCACGGGACCTGCTCAGAGCTGAACGTGTGGAGGCAAAAACGCTGCCGGTCCCTCCCTGCTGCGGGAACGGGGTGTTGAAAGGTCCTGGGAAGGGTGAGGAGAGCTCTCTCTCCTGTGGTTCCATGTAAGGATGAAGTGGGAGGGTGTTTTGCCGGAGCTCTGCGAGTGCAGACGGTGCCTGTTCAGCCCCTGGCATCTTTCCTGGAAGGACCAGCTCACCCAGGGAGGCAGGAGCAAGGAACAAACCTGGGCCAGCGTGGGAAACGTGATTAACTGGGAGGAAAAGAAATTTTATTTGGCCTGTTTATGATTTTCTTCTTTCATCATCTCCCTATAAAGCAAATGCCGCACCAGTGAACTGCCCTGACCCTGCTGGAGTGGGGATACAACCAGGAAAACTCTCCTGAGAGTCTGCTCACCGCTCTGGCCCACGTGGGGGCTGTGTGCACCCCATCCCCGCTCCATCCCTCCAGCTCCCACAGCACATTGTTCATCCCTCACTGTGCTCAGTCCTGCCCCTGCCAGAGAGGGCAAATCCCTGCCCTGGAGAGCAGAGGCTGCTCCTGAGCTTGTGTGCTCAGAGCTCCTAAAGCAGGGCCTGGATCCAGCCTCACCGGGTGTCCTGGGAAAGGCAGTGCCTGGTTTATTCCTCCCTTAGATCTTGCTGAAGAGAAATGTCAATACTGCAGGTGTGAAATGTTACAATTTCAGGGATTTGGAGGCTTTAGAGCCTGAAACCTCACTACAAGAGCAATGTCTTCAAAGTGGGATGTGCCAGACTGGTCCCAGTCACTGCTGCACCACATCCCTGGCACAGAGCTTCTGCCTGAGGCTGTTCCTGCCCGTGCTGAGCTGGGGGCTCGGGATAACCCCACAGGCAGGGCCAGAACCCAAGGGTCTTTTATTGATCCTTTGATGGGATTCTTCATCTCCTCCCTGTATCCTGGGAGTGGGTGGCATGGGACATCCCCTCTCTCACCTGCCCAGGAGGTGCCAGTGGCTGTGACAGGGCTCCTGGGGACAGGAACGGGGACATCAGAGGGGTGGGAGGGCAGTGGACCAAACACTGCAAAATGGGATTTTCACTGGGGTTGTCTGAGCACTGCTGCCCCCAGGGGGATGTCTTGTCCTCTCTCCTTATCTGTGCCTGGCAGGTTTCTTCTCCATCCCTGCACCCCCAGCACCTCCATCCATCCATCATCCATCCATCCATCCATCATCCATCCATCCATCCATCCATCCATCCATCCATCATCCATCCATCATCCATCCATCCATCATCCATCCATCCATCATCCATCCATCCATCCATCCATCATCCATCCATCCATCCATCCATCCATCCATCCATCTATCCGTCCATCCATCTCTCCCACAGCAGGCTCAGATACCCGGGGCTGGTGGCCTTGTTCCCTCCCCGTGCTCTCCAGGAGTGTCACAGAGGGACAAACCCCCTTGCAGGTGCCCCTGAGAGCCTCACTCCGTGCCCGGGGCAGTCCCTACGCTCGGGGCCGGGGCTGAGCTGCCTTTTGTGGCGCTCGGGCCCCGGTGATTGGGCGCTATTTTGCTCCGGCTCCCTCCGGCAGCTGTTGCTGTTCTTTACCCGGGACAGCCGGGGCCGCCCGGGGGCTGCAGCCGAGGAGGAGGCGGCGGCCGACCCCAGGTACGGATTTCTGTGGCTTTTGAGCCCTGATGTGGGGCAGCCCCTGGGCAGCCCCTGGCCACAGCCCGGCTCCCTCCGGCCGCGGGGGACTGGGAGCCACGGGGCTCATCCCCGGGCGAGGGTGGCAGGGAGAGCGGGCAGGCGAGGGGACTATTTTTGGAAGTTTCTTTGATGTGAGTCAGCGGTGAAGGCGACCTCGGAGCCCGTGCAGGAGGAGTCCCAGTGGCAGCAGAGCGGAGCTGATTATTTGTTAAGTGCCTGCGATTTTGAGCCTTTACGGGCGGATCTGGCGTGCGGGGAGTGAGTCCCGGGGAGCGGCATGGGCAGGAGGGATGGATGGGAGCGCTCCTGGGCAGGGCCGGTGCGAGCCAAGGCTGCAGCTGGACTTGGGGGCTGCGGGTGACCGGCCCTGCCATGGGCAAAGTGTCCCTGGCACTGGTGGCCACCCCTGCCCTGCCTAGACACCCTGTGCTCCTGCAGGTGACACGGCCCATCCCAGGTAGGGACAAGGATCCTGTGCGGGCTGGAGAGCCCTGGAGTGCATCCACCTCCTGCCAGGGCACAGAGTCCCATCTCCTGCCCAGGGGGGACAGACCTGGACGTGGATCTGCTCAGCTCTGGGACCCAGTTAATGTTTTTGGGGCAGGGAAGGACACCTGCCTGCCACCAGGTCTGGAGGCTGTTTAGGCTCCTCCATCAGGGTGAGGTGTGGAGATGTGGAAAGAGCCTGGAACTCTGTGACAGGGCACTGGGCTCAGCTGGGGCCTGGGGAGCCCAGCAGGGGTGTGCTGTGGGCACAGTGTGTGATCCCTCTCAGTTCAGTGAGGGTCCCTCGAGGTCACACAGTCTGTGTGTGGCATTGGAGAAAGATTTGGGATGCCCTGAGGCCACCAAAGGGCTGTCCAGGTGGGCAGGGAGAGCTCAGAGGTGGGCAAGGAAGGACAGAAGAGGTTCCTTGTCCTCACCATGAGCCGTGGCCACCGGTGAGGTGTGTGAGACTCTGCAGGACACAGCTCAGGCTGGCAGAGATGGTTCTTTGTGGTGGTGTCACTTCAGAGGGTGACCTCGGGCATTGAGGGACACCTGTATGACACCAGCTCCATGGGAATGTGGATTCTGGCCAGGGAGAAGAGGAGCAGAGGCCCTCCTTTACCTTCCTGGTGCTTGTCTGTGCCCAAAACCAGGCTGAATGATTGAGAAGCTTAAAAACACAGCAAGCATGTGAGGAGAAAACACTTTGAGAAGTTCTCCAGCTTTGTGCTTTCCCTGAGTCTGGAAAACCCCCCAGCCACCAGGAGAGTCCTGGGACAGCTCCAACCCTTCCCAGCAGAGAAAGGACCAGTTTACATCACTTAAACAAACCACAGACTCATTTTATTTCCTCTTGAAAGCAAAGACCTTTCAGATTATGACCAAAAGGTTTCTTCTTATTTATCTGTTCTGCTTCCAAGATTGAGTCGTAGGTTTCATCCTGGGAACTGGGATCTTTTCTCAGTGTTCCACAGGGGGGAAATAAACTAAATCCAGCTCAAAGGGGGCAAAAATTTTCCTTCTGGGGAGGAAAATCTGAGGCACTGGACTTGGAGATGACAAGAGGGCTCAGGCCGGTGGTGCTGGGACCTTGTGGTGCCTTCCCAACCCTGCAGCTCTCCCAGGGCAGAGAAAGCCCCAGGACCCCGAGGAGCCCAATCCCCCTCCCCAGCCCTTCCTCATGTCAGAGCCCTGGGGACTCTCAGTTTGCTCTCCCACTCCCCAGCTGGGAAAAGCCCTGAGAGGCCTCCCTGAGCCCTTGAGTTCCTTTTTGAGGTCTGGTTGCTCCATGGACTGAGACTTCCCCTGCTGTCCAGCTCTGGCCTTCCAGTGTCCAGCTTTGTGTTTTTGTGGTGTCTGAGCCCAGACTGGGCTGTTGGTCCCCCTGTGTGCCTTGGCAGGGAGGTCACTGTCCCTTTGACTGCCACTCCCCTGGGATGTGCAGGTTGGTGACATTTTGGGGCTCAGAGCCCCAGAGCTGCCCAGAGCTGCCTTTGCACCCCCTCAGTGCCAGGGGGGCTTTTTACCTGACTTGGGACACCTCTGTCCTTCCTTGGCAACACCAAAGATGCAATCACAGCCAGGTGTCCCCTCTCTGCAGGCTGGGGGTGTCACCAGGGGGTCCCCACCCCCCAAATTTGTCACCTAAGGAGCTGTGCTGTGCTTGTCTTCAACAGATGCCAACGCTCCAGTGAGCAGAGACAGCCACGGGGAGAGCACTGGAACACATGTGAGTGCCCAGGGTCAGGGTGGGGCTGCTGGGGAGCATCCCTGTGCCAGGGCAGGGGGTGCCAGGGATGGATCCCTGTGCCAGGGCAGGGGGTGCCAGGGATGGATCCCTGTGCCGGGTCAGGGTGTGCCAGGGATGGATCCCTGTGCAGGGTCAGGGGGTGCCAGGGATGGATCCCTGTGCCAGGATAGGTCAGGGGGTGCCAGGGATGGATCCCTGTGCCAGGATAGGACAGGGGGTGCCAGGGATGGATCCCTGTGCCGGGGCAGGGGGTGCCAGGGATGGATCCCTGTGCCGGGTCAGGGTGTGCCAGGGATGGATCCCTGGTCAGGGTCAGGCTCCGGGGGCTGAGCCGGTGCTGCCCCAGCGAGAGGCACCGACCCGGCTCCTGCAGCACCTGGGCCGTGCGTTCACCTCAACAGCCTTAAACAGGGGTGTATTTGACGTTATTTAAGCTGGATTTAACCACGAGTTGCCCCCGGCACACACGGGTGGGCTGGAGACCCCCAGGCTGTGCTTGGGATCCCCCCGGAGCCCCCTCGGGGCTGGGCTGGGGCTGCAG